AAAGAGTACCCTTTCTTGAGTGGAAGAAGTTTGTATTCAAAGTACTTATTAATCGTTCAAAAGTCTATTAATTACTGAATCAATTCATTAGACTCGACACTGATGTCAAGCGTTTTCATAGATAGAGTGCCCGCGTGTCCGCCCAACAGCTCTCCCGAGAATTGCCAGCAATTGACTATCGCTAACGAGATGTTCATACTTAGACTTATGGACACAAACACTACACAAGAGTCCACTGTTATCTACAAACCCAACAAACGGAACCAATTAGACTTGCTTTTGCCCAAAGACTATCCCTGGAATATGACGGTCACTGACTTCTGGCCTCAAGAGTGGGATCACATGCCTCTTAGCGAACGGCCGGCCGTTTATTACGCAAAGACCTACGAAATGATGTATATTATAAAGAGTGGTCTAATAGACGCGGAACTGCTCTTCAATCCGATTTCATCGGTAAACTGGTATAAGAAGTTCCAGAGATCTAAACTCAACACAACCGTCCGTTTTATCGGAATGTTTACTATCGATAACAGAGTGATTGCCGTCGGTATCGATCCTAAAGACACGACCAATGAGTACCGCATTTACGAACTCAATGACAATGAAAGACAATACGCTTTCAAACCATCAGTAATTTTATTTAAGACAAAGGTTTAAACAATTAATGTAATGATTATTGAATTCCTGTCAAAAGGGACACACTTTGAAGAAATTTCTCGGTTGTGTGGCTAACGTTCCGAATCCACCGCCGGATACAAACACTGTAACCAATACTATGGCTACAATCGGTTTCAGTTCTTCATCAGTGTCTCCGCAACTAAACAGAGGACCGGATAGCGAAGGAAAGACGAGTTCGACGACTATTGTAATAGTGGTGACCGTAATCTTGATTGTGGTAATAGTGTTGAGCGCCGTTATATACTTCTATATCCGACGCAATGGTAACTATAACTCATGAGTTAAACAGCGTTTTTCACAATACTTTGAATTAATTGAACAAATGATGACTATTTAGCGAACACTGAAACCATTGCTCAGCGAAAAAAGATGTCTGAAAAGGAAAGCAAAGCCACCGATACTGAGACCAGATTGATGTCCATCGAGACCATCAACTCTTCCACTGGATTTAAAGACAAATAATTTCATTTTTATTTAATCTGCAATTAAAATTCAATTTATTTATTAGTATTTCTGTTTAAAAAAAACATTGAATAAAATTTTGACAAATAGTTAAATATATGTTTATTGGCAAAACCTATTCGGCAATTCTTGTGCCACAACTACAGTCATGCGATCACTAAAAGGATTGTTCGCTATCTGTATCCCAATAGCAGACCATCTTTATTGAGACCCAATGGACAGGTAGTGAGTGTACGACTAATAAGTTATTAGTAATAACCAGTGATTATCAATATTTAACTTAAATTTGTTAATAAATTATTACTACAAATATTTATTTTAATTGCCGTAACTTTTATTTAATTTCAAATCAATTCTTTTCTTTATTATAAATTGAAATTTCTATTCGTATTACAGTATTGAGACGTTTCTCGCATTTATTGCAAACAAATTATTGTTGAATTTATTTCATATCAAGTCTTGGTTTCAATGATTTAAACAATTGTTTGGTATAATTAGTGTCAAACAAATTACAGCGCGTTTTACTAAATGTATTGTTTTAGACATTTGTCTATAAATAGCGATTACTTTTGAATTTGAATTCATTTCTAAACCGTTTCTTCACTTGAATTGCAAACAAAATTCTTGAATCAAAAGTCAATCAAAAGATGAATTCCGTTGAAACTGAAGAGACGACAGAACTGTTGCCGAGACTGAGGTCTGGAGGAGAGGTTCAGGAGTCGAGGCGTCGCCGAAGAAGGAGATCCAAAGGCGGAGACGAGTCTTGCGGTCGGAGACGTCGCCGAAGACGCGGCGGAAGACGATCTCGCAGTCGATCCGGTCGTGGAGGCCGTCGACGCCGCCGAAGACGCTCTCGAAAGGGAGGCGACGACGAGTGAAGACAGACCTCAGCTCTGATGGTCTCCAAAGATATCTCTGAGAATTCATTTCCAAATTTGTAGTATTTTTAGCAGAATTTTGTAAAATAAAAACCGTTTGAAAAAACAATTACTTTTGAATTCATTTATAAATCCAAACGATTTTATAACCAATTGAGTGATGATTTAATTATCTGTCAAAACATCACTTATAATATATTTTAAAGTAAAGTCTAACAAAACTTATAAAATGAGATCATTATTAGTGGTATGAATCAAGCCTTAGACGTACAGTAGTTTCCATACTTTAATCCCAGTTCACCACAAAGTAATGACAATTAATGTGATTTTTGAATTAAAATCTTTTAATTAATTTATAACTCCAACGATTTATAACCAATTGAGGGATTCTTTCATTTATGTGTCAAAACATAACTAATAAAATATCTGAATTTAAAGTGTAATTATGAATAGAGTAGTCCTCGAAGAATGAAATCATAATTTCATTTCCGCCAACTCTTGGTATGAGTTATTCGTTGTCATTATCTAAGGGTTTCCTATATTTATCACAACATAATGCTTATGAATGGGACAAAGAGTTTAGTAATTGTCTGTTAGAAATAAGTCTATTTGAATAACGATTTATTTAAAGTAATTAAAATGTATTTCTATATATTTATTACAAATGATTAAAGTAGTAAAATTAATATATATTTACAGATTGATAGATTAGTTGATATGTTAATAAGGTTACAAATTCAGCATAGTAGAATAGATTCTTGGTTTATGCTTATTAATGTTAAAATTGTTCATAAAATTATAAAATATATCGTATTTATAAATAGTATAAGA